GTTAGTTGTAAGTATAGATTTAGAAGAATTAATTTGGATGTTAGCCATATTATAAAATGACTTAGCTATTGAAAGAATTTGAGATAGTTCTGTTTGTGAGGATGCAATTCAGAGGGTATTATCCAGATATGTAAGGACTGAACAGTATGCTTTAAGTTTGTTGAAATTTTTATTTTTGAGATTAGTAATTCAAGCAGATTGCATAGAATGACCTGTGAATTGTGAATAAATTAAGGTTATAAAAAGATTATAGTAGATTCTTCAGAGCAGTAGAGTGATGGTTTCATTCTAATCAATGTCATTATAAACTAGATATAATAAAATAAGGTCAAAATTAGTAATAACTTGATTATGCCTATTTGTAAACAGATTTATTATTATATTTATAATTTTTAGAAATAAAGCAAAGTGTAAAAATGATTGCTCAAAAAGAGTAAGGTTAACAGAATTATATGCTTTGCTTATGTCCTAAGACAAGAGCCAAATGTTTTTGTGGTTACAGAATGCATCCTCAATAAGATTGTTAAAAATGTGAATAGGAATAAATATACTGTTATATGAAAATAAATATAATTAAAAGAAGAGAGGATAGTATATTGTGTGAATACAGAGTTAAGTCAGTTTGTAATAATTTTTGTATAAAGTTTTTGAATATATTCAATAAGGCTAATAGGTCTTATTAGATTAAGGTCTTCTTTAAAAGTATTGCACTTAGAAATGAGATAGATTCTGCTATGTTTTCATTATTTGAGAACTTGGCCAAAGTCAAGGCAGTGATTAAATAAGACAGTAATAAATTGAATACATATAGAACTAGAATATTTAATTATTTCATAGCTTATATCTGTAGAATTACAGGCTTTATCATTTGAGAATTAGGCTATTATATTGAATATTTCTTTTGTTGTAATAGCTTCAATAAGTAAAGTATACCAAGTTGGGTCAATGTATGATTATGTTTGATAGTATTGTTACCAGAAATTTTGATATAGGTTATGATTAATTAGTATGTATTTTGTTCAGTTTTCAAATTGGTTTTGGATATGTTGCTTAATAGCATTTGGTTTGGTAATAAATTGATTTAGTAATTTAATATTAGAGAAGTAAATAGGTTTATGATAGTAGTTAAGAATGCTATTGATGATCTGTTTAGGATGTAAGACAAGAGGTTCACATTTTTTCTCAGAAACATTTTGTATTTGTTAATAAAAAAGGAGTGAATTTTTCATGTTACATATATAATATAGCTGTTTTCAGATATCACAAGCATATGTAATCCATTTCTTAATATAATTAGCTAAGAGAATAAGTTGAAGATTACATTGTGTTTAAAGATTAATTGATTGAATATGATGATTAATAAAGGAAATATTAGTTAATAACTTGTTAGTTTTAGTGATTTTATTAAATGACTAAGTTTTTTAAATAATAAGTATAGTAGGATACTATGTGAGGTGTATTTATAATTATAGCTTCATTTGTGACTAATTTTGTTTAATATAAATTGTATTGTAATATTAATAAATAAGTATTCAATTTTGTGTTAAGTTGTTTGAAAAATTTTATCTAAGTGTATAGTAAGAGAGGTGTTGTGAAAGTTAAGATTCAATATAAGAAAATCAGAGAAATTTGTCCATTTATCAGAATTTATTGTCTTGTAATTAAAGATTTTACAACTTATTTCAGTATGATGTCTTAGGGGTTTGCTAAATGCATTAGGAAATGTCTATAAAGATAAGAAAATTAAGTGATTACTAAGAATACTAGTATTGCTTGAGTTAAAATTATATGAAAAAGGGAATTGAATAGTAAATTGGTCAGTTCAAATATAATCTATATGACTACTATTAGAATTATTAAACCAAGTTTAATGTATATTATTAAAATATGCTCTAATATTATATATGTTGAAGTTATTAAGAAAGTTAATGAGTTTAAATTTGCTTAATGAGTTGTGAATAGAGTCTTGTATATTAAAATTTCCTAAAACAATAGAGTAAAGATTTAAGTAACATGTTTATTGAATCCAATTAATGACAGTATTTTGTATTTCATTATATTTTACAAAGTCTATAAATGAAAGATATACTGAAATTATATGAAGCTTGATATTATTTTTAAAAAAAAGATCTAAAGTAATAACTTCTTCTAGATGTATTATGCAGCTATATATATGGGATCTAAGGTAATTGCAAATTATAATAGCTATTCCTTCAACTGAGATTTTAAAATTAGAACAATAGTAGTGAAGGTGATATTGTTATAAAAAAAAAGTTTGTTTTGTTTGATATTTTAGTTTTTGTGATACCTGTAATATAAATATTATTCTATAAGCAATAGTTTTATTAGCTTTTTCTTTTAGTAATGATGTTAAAACCTCTAAATTATAAATTATAATAATAAGATTGAGATCATGAGTTTAGTCTAGATTCAGAATTGATTGAAGAGATAATATTAGTAAATTGTGAAATGATTATAAAGATTGATTAAAACTAGAAAAAACTGAGGAATTTGGAAAAGCTAATCTTGATAGATTAGAAAGTTCAGAGTTTATTTGAGATATTATTTGTGTTGAATTATTATAAAAGAATAAAATTAAGTTATAATAGTCTGAAGGTTCTAGTCTTTAGAATAAATGAAAGATAAAGAAGAACTGGTAATTTGAAGATATTAGTATAGAAAAGACTGATGTTAATATATTTGATTTTAGTTAGATATTTGGATAATGTCAGATACTTGAACTGGTAAGATAAAGTGATTAAATAAGGGTTTGGATTCTGATGGAAGGTAGATATAAGTTTTGTTATAATCATTTTTAATAAAGATAATTAATATGTAATCATATAAGTTATCAGATAAATAGCCAAAGCTATAAATATGTTATAAAAAAGTAATAATAGTTTGAAGATAAGAAAATATTGATATATAATATAAAATAGAAATTTGTTATAGCAAATATTAAATTGAATGTTGTCATAATATCATTTAAGTATGATGGTTTCATTATAGTTATCAAAAATAGTTCTTATTAATTAAAAATAAGTGTTGTCTAGTTCATTATTCTTTATAATTAAATTAGTATCTAATATATTATTGTTTATTGAAGAGAATTTAGAACAGATAGGTATAGATAGATAGTAGATATAACCTAATAGTTGTGAGAAGAAGTAATTAGGTAAGGGTTGTGATATATATAATAAATGTATATAACATTCACTATAGTCAAGTTTGATTGCTAATTTAAGTTCATAATTAAAATTATTACATTATATAAAGTTGTATTGATAAATATGTTTTAAAAATGAGTTAAGTATTTGTAGATATTAAAGTAGAATTAGGTTTAAATGTGCTAACTATTAGTAATAGCACAAGTCTGGATTATATAATGTTTTATAAATTGGTTCTTGTGATGCTTTCTTAATGTTTGATAATGAAATGAAATTCAAAAAGTAGAAGATTCTTTTGTAAATATGCATGTCATATGCTTGGCTCTTACAGCTGCAAAGAATATCATAGCCTGTTCTGTATATTGAGTCTGGCTATCATTAACTTGGTTCTTTGCATATTCAAAAAATCTGAGATATATTTATTAATAAAAATATAAGAAAATGAAAAGAAGAATTTAGTAATAATAAAAGATAAAGAAAAAAGTTATTTATTACAATTGTAAAAAGGCTGAACATATTATTTGAAAGTACTTATTAAAAAATAAATTTTAAAAAAATATTGAAAAAATATAAAAAGTTAAAAAAACTATATAAAAAGATTTGGTTAGTACAAGAATAACAATGTTAAATGTTATAAAGCAAGATATATGTTTTAAATAAAAAATAATTATAACTTAGTACTAGTAATAATATACAAAATAAAGAGACACAAAATTAACAAATAAATATTAGAAAAAACAATTAAGACTCCAAAAGACCAATATATAACCTCTAATAAATCTAAAAAAAGATCCAATCTGATAAAAAATAAAGTGTTCATATTAGAAAGAAAATCCTAACAAAAATGAAACCTATTAATCATTAATAATCTGATTCTATACAAAACAGCAGACAATATTTTGTTAATATTATTGTAAATTAGATATTCTAATATCTAAACTAGCAATAAAATCTAGTCAAAATTCTGTATAGACTCTTATTTTTGATTTAATATCAAATTCAAAACTGTTGCCACATATTATTTTATAAAGAAAAGAGCAATTTGGTTGTAATTATATTCAACTCTGTAGCTATTATAAATATAATAACAAAAAAAAGTAGTTAATAAACTAAAGTTAAAAATTTAAGAAAATTTTTTATCATAATTGTCATAGTAACTAGTACTAAAACTTGGATGTTAAATAAAATCAATAGTGTAAAAATTATTTTTTTAAGTTATAATGATACTTACACCCTCAAAAAATTGAGCAATAAACAAAACTCTACTTTTAGAAACTGATTAGTTTCTAAAAACACAAGCTCAGTTGCACTTTAATAAACGTAGTTGCATCTAAAATATTAAGAACAAGTAGTTAAAGTTCTGAGATCTTATTCAAGCAATTGTAACTTCTGAGGCCCAATTCAGAGTTAATAATAAAAGTGATAGTAGGTGCGAACAATTTTTTGGGAACACTACCTAAGATGGATTTAAGATCATAAATTAGTAAAACAATACTTCAAACACTAGAATTATTATATTTTGATCAAGGACCTAATTTTTAGATTAGACCCATTATTAATTCACATTAACTTTATTATATATAGTTATCCGAATACATGCTATGATAAAACTAATGTAAGTTAATTAAAATCCAAAATTTCATAAAGCAATTGTTTTGCTAGAATCGTTCATAATTTAACCACATATTTTCCCATTTTAATGATAATTATAAATAAAAAATTTTATGAATAAAAATGAATATCTACAGTATCTGCAGTATATACAATGTTTTTAAAAGAAAAACAAAAAAAAAAAATTTTTTTTAAAGAGGTTCATTAAACCAAAATAAATTTCTAAGAAATAAATTTTGCAGCTTGTAACCATAAAATACTAGGATTAATAATACTATCATCATTATAAAATAGTCTATGAGTGGCAGGTCGATACATAAATTCACTTATTTGATCAGGGAATTCCAAACTATAAGTTTCACTATAAGTGAATTTAAAGCTAAACATTGCAATATCCTCGGCAAAATTTTTTGGTATATTAGGTTTAGGATCAGTAGTACTATTTTTTGTGACATTATTAATTTGAGCATAGAAATTATTTACAGTTACAACATTTCCACCAGGGAATGAAGAGTAAGACATACTACTATTATAAAAACCACCGACAGAAACCGTAGCAATTTTAGCTTGTTCAGCCAGATATTGAACAGTTTGTGCGCATGTAGACGAACAAGCGCCATTAGTAAGTACAATAATGTCCTTATTCGTCCATGGAGATGTCCAATTAGATAAAGCGGAATCATTTAATATATCAACAAATAGATTTGAATATTTAGTAGTTACGCCACCTCTTTTGAATTGATTATTACCAATCATTTCAGCAGAGTTTGTAAAAGGTTTGCCAGTGACTATTGATTGTTCTAAGCTAGGGGAATAACTTATTGCATTAGAACCAAGAACTTGTTTGTCAGCTTCTTCAATAAGGAATGTCATGACATCATTAATTTTGATATCACGTGGGAATGTAAAATTTTGTTGACGTAAGAAAATTTCGTTAATGAATTCACCAAGAGGTACGAAACCACCTCCATTACTGCTAAAATCTAGAACAACCTAATATAAAAAGAAGATTAAAAATAAAAAATTTTAATATAAAATTTATTATAAAAATTTTAGCAATAAAATTTATAAAAAAAATAAATAAATAAAAATAGATTACAAACTTTTTTAATACCAGATTGAGCAAATTGGTTAAATGCAACTATAAGATTCTCTTGATACTTATTCTCATCAAGCACATAGGCAGGAGGAAGGAAATTTGGAATAACGATGACACCAGTTTCATTAAATTTATAAAATAAGGTAAAATTATCAAAATTATTAATTAGTTCACCAGGAATATCCACATTAACGTTTTGAGTTGATAAATTTATAACAGTTGCCAAATTCTCAGTATTATAAGTAGTAGGTTGTTGATTATAAGAAGTAGATTTTAGACTATTGTTAACAAGACAGATAGAATCAAAAAAACTTTTGGAATCAGTAAAACCCAAAGTATTATAAGCATTATTAACTATTCTCCAAGGTCTTTTTAAAGTTTTAGTTTCACTATTATTACATTTGAGTTCATAAGTAATACTATCAGAATCTGGTAAGGTCAAACGTCTGGTGAACTGGCTCGAACTAATAACATTTTGATTTAGACCGAAAATACCATTAGCAAAGTTGACAGACGCTAATGCCATGTTAAATCTTACACCAAGATCACGGGAATTTCTGATATGTTTCTTGGCATATGAGGTAATTACTTCTAAAGCAGGACTGCCATCGATTTGCGTAACCTCACATCTATTATTTGAAGAATCTATATCATCTTGGAGTATTTTAATAACCTATAATTATTAAGAAATAATTATCAAGAATAATTATTAAGAAATTAATTTGAAATTAATTAAAATATGGACTGTATTCTGAGAAAAGGGATCAAATTGATAATCTTTTCAATTTGTTTTTTCAAGCTTAACTAATCCAAAATTAGTACAACTCTTTAAAGTTTATATTTTCTTAAAATTTATTATAGAATTTATAATATAAAATTCAATTTTCCACAAAAGTTTTTTTTTTTGTCCTTTTTTTAGAACACAGCCCATATAATTATATGTATTTATAAATAAATAAATATCATCAACATTCTAGCATTCTTACCTGAGATCCATGACAATCGACTGTTGAATAGAGCCAGATGTCTTGAATAAAGAAAAATGCGTTATAACAAGCAGTACCAAAATCGGTATGACCGTCTTTAAGATCAATGAATATTTGAGTTACATCTGTCTGTTATCATATTAATCAGGAGTATAAATCAAAACATTCTATTAATTAATTATATATATATGTGTGTGTATATGTGTGTGTATATGCGGAATAATAAAACTTACAAAAAATTCGAAATCTGTGGCGTAATTTTTTTTTAACAAATTATCAAGTTCAACATTTATATCCACAGATCTGAAGTCAAAACCCTGCTCTGCTGGTTCTTTTGACTGATCAAAAAATATATAAAATGTTTCAAATATTCCTTTAAGTGATACAACCACCTGCGTTAATAAAATATATATATATATATATTAAATAAATAAATAAGTATATATTTAATGTAAATAATGATTTATGCAGTTAATTGATCCACATAATTTTAATTAAATTTTAAAGTTGACATACTTCAGTAGCCCGCTGAAGATCAAAAGGAAAGCTCATGTAACAACTTTTAACGTCCTCATATTTAATATTCAAAGTTGTGTTCGAACTCATTGATGTTGTAAAACTTTGATGAATATTCGCACAACCATCTGGCTGATCCCTCTTTCGAAGTGGAATAGCAACTGTAAAAGTTCCAGAGATGGTAAGTAATAGAACTAGAAATATGATAATCTGGATATTAAATAAGTTGTTCATGATTTTATTTTTAAACGAAATTTTAATTAAATTCTATTTACATCCATAGAAAAAATTTTAACACTTACGATTTATCGTCTTTTTATAATAAAAAAGGCTAAAATAAATAATAATATATATTGTGTCATGAAACAAAAAACAAATTGGCCAATAAGTGTTAAAAATAGTGACGTAAACCAATTAAAAACTGAATACCGTTAACTTTCTTTTTTTAAATTTTGTGGCTTTTTTCATTTCCAAAGATCGAAATTCTGTATATTTAGGTTTACATTTGCATGTTACGTAATACACAAAAAGTATGATATTGTATCTATGAGGTAATCCCCGTAATAACACAATGCCCTTTTTGTATTCAAAGATTACCAGACTATTGAGATAGCCCTTAGAATAGAAAAATAAGTAATGATCAGCGAAACAAACCGGTTTTTAAGTTAATTAATGCGTAATTTGATTCATATTTTAGGAGTTTACCGTTTCAAAGCTATTAAGTGTGACATAACACGTTAGAAATAAGATTTCAAACGCATTATCTTGTTTTCCCCAAAAAAAAAGAAAAACTTTTAAATGCAGTATTGCCCTTTATGTAATTTTTCAGTAGTTCTGTAAGTTCTATAGTTGAAATATATGGACAAAAATTATTGTTGAAAAAGGAAACTGCAATTCTTCAGGTCCAGCCTTTTGAAGATTCTTTAGGATGAGGTAATAAATAAACACATTTGATTTCTTACCATGATTGATACGTATATTGTATAAACTTGTTTCAGCTTTAAAGATATCGATATATTAGAGCTTAACATGTTTAACAATTATAGTCAACGAATATGTGTATTGTAAGTACGTACTTAGTATAGAAATGTACTTTGGATACGTAGGAGAATTATTTACAAATTAATGAGGCTGTGGCACAGCCACAAAAACCGTACGTACATACACGTATGCATCTGCAATGTCGGATGTCGGAATACCATGAGATAAGCATACATTATTGAAAAAATAACAGACAATTTTTTTTTGTCAGAGTTAAGTCACTCCATGTGTTGCGTAGCAGCATTTGAGTGAAATTAACTTTGATGAAAAAAAATCGCCTGTTATTTGTCGTACGTATGCTCAACAATGATGTTATTGGATAGTTAATATGACCATGTGAAGTTTTTTCTGTAATATTTTGCAAAACTGATTACTTAATTTCATGCAAAAAATATCATGCCAATGAAATGTCGAATAAGAACATTTTATATGTAACAGCAGGGATTTTATTTTTTAACATATGTTACATGTATAAATGAGTACCACCAAAGAAAAGCTAAACTTTAGACTTTTAAATTTATAATTTACCTTAACAAACAAAACAGACTGTGTCTAGACAATAAACTTGAAACACAGTTAATAGATTTTTTCCTTGGCATATTAAACAAGAGTATTTTTTGGTAACAATGAAACTTAGCAACTATATGATTACATCTATTGAGCTGTTTTTTCACGACTGTGACAATGCATCCCTTACAGTTTTTTTTTCGATAATTATGCTCTTTTATTATGACTAACATAGGCAGTATAAGAATAGAATATGAATATAAAACTTGCACAACTACAATATTGGTAAGGGTGTGGTTTTAGTGTGTGTACCATAAACTCAATATTGGTAGGGTGTGGTTTGAGTGTGTGTACCATAAACTCAATATTAAATATACAGGGGAGATTTTTGATGTAACTATACTGTTATTGCGATATATGCTTCACCTGCATGTTATTGTAAGTATGTAGTGATTAAAAAGATGCTTTATTGCAGTGTATCATGTCAAATCTATTGAGAAAGTAATTGCATTAATTTCTTTTTTATTCTCATAAATAATATTAATTGCAAAGCTCAAAGAATGTATAGCTATCACACTAAACTGGTTATAGAATATTGGTTCATACTGTGATGTTTCTTTGGTCCTTTGGGAGTTAATGTCACTCCCATGTACTATGTAGCAGAATATTGATATTAATTCCATTGAAAAAACTTCCTACGTACCAATACAGTATTGGTATGTTCAGTTTTTACCATATTTTGTAACGGCGTCAGGTGGTTTTGATAGGCGCAATAAAATTTACCTTATTGAGGTCACGATGATATAATAGACCATGGGGCGAGCAAAATTACAATTCAAATCTTGGTCACGATGTGTAAAAATGATCATTTATGAAGTACAATAGTTTAGTACGCCTTGAAATATTTTTATTTCACTATACAGTTATAAGAAATCTCGATCATTCGGCCTAGATTGATCGACATCGGCCAATTTTGAGGTTATAATTAAGTGAAACTTTTTTCATAATTTTGGCGTGATCATCAAAAACCTGGAACAGAATTCTTGCGTGTATTATAGTATAGTATTTCAAATTGATATAGCATAGCCGACTTAGTCGGCTAAGTTAATCAATATTGACTTAATTGACTATTAATACGCATATACACTAGGTATATTGTATTAGCATTAACATGAAAACAAATATTGGCGTATGTAATGTACGTATATGCTTTATATTGCACAAACCTTATTTACTTATGACTTTCAGGATTCGATTCAGATTTTAACATCTTATATGATAAATAGATATGAGGATTTATTGACAGATTTAAATGAATCAATAAAAATCAATTCAAATAGTGCAAATGCACTAGGAAATCGTGGAAAAACTTATCCCATGATAAAAGATATGCAGAGTCATTCATTTCATTCATTCAAAGATTTATCCAAATCATTAATCATTAACCAGAAAATATCGATACCTTAAAATGTAGTGAAACTCATTGTACGTATTATGAGCTGATATGTGCGTTATGAATGGATATTATGAAGTGCTTGCAGATTTAAGTTCACCATTAAAAACTAAATCATATAATAGTTTTGTATGAGGATAACTTATCACATGATTGTAAATAAATTACGTCTTAAGTGCTAATGTAGATAGCAGATAGTGTATTTGCATTTACGTATCAGTAATGCAAATATAATAAATTGCTTAATGTTTTAATAAATCTTTAAAAATTGCTTTAAATGATCCATCTTTGCTAAAAATCTGTGGTGTTATATACTATCGATTAGATAAAATATTTGCAAGTGTTTATTTTCTGCATATGATAATATTTGCAAGTGTTTATTTCTGCATATTATGATAATAAACAACAAGATTTACAAATTTCACCCACCACTTTCTATTGGACGATTGAAAAATTATCTTCAAGCGGCACGTCAAATAATTTTTTAGTGCTTGAATAAATTAATAAAATTTTTTGCACTCAAATAAATTAATAAAATTTATTGCGAATGTTATTTCATATTATTGAATTTTTTTGTGAATGCTATTTGTTAAAAATTTTTAAATAACTTTTAGCCATTAAATGTCTTTTACTATTTTATTAATTATACTTTGAAGTTATTAAGCAAAATAAATCATACCATAGAATTATTATCAATTTTGCATTTTAACATGACTATTCTACTTAAAATTAATAATATTTTTGACATGGACGAAGATGTTGATATGGATATTAGTAATAAAAAGTCTAATATTAATAATATGTTTGATTTTATTCTAATATGTTTAATAACACTGGTCAAACATAAAAAGTTGTAAATGATGATGCAGAAAAAGAATCAGATGAAAAAAATAAAAACTTATTATTTTTCAATAAAAACAAAAAAAATAAATAAATGAACTAAAAAATAGAATTATCATTATTACAAGGTGTATAAGAATGTTGTTAAAAAAAACAAATAAAAAATTACATTTAATTCAAAAAAAATTCAAAAAAAGACAGATGCAAAAATTATATTTTTATTTATTTTTTATTAATTTATCAATAATAGTTTTAAAATATTATTTCAAAAAAATATAATAAGTTAATATAGTAAATAAATTATTACTCTTCAAGTAACAAGCTGTAAATTCAAAACCTATTAAAAATAAAATTTTGAAAAAAAACAACTATATTATAGCAACCATTTTTCATTAATTAATTAAAATAAAATACTTATAATTATAATCATATTAACATAATTAGCAAATTATAAGGCATCTATATAACCTTAATTATATAAAGAAATTAAACTAATATTAGATAGTGCAAGTCAAAATAAATAATATAAATCTGTAAAACTAAAAAAAAACACTTATTTAAAAAAAATTTAAATAAAAAGATAATATGAAGTTTTAATTTTATACTTAAAAAAATATAAATTACTAACTTTTTTTAATAATTATTTATACTAAAATTCTATTAAAAAATTTTTAATTTTTAATTTTTTTTTATTTTTTATTATTTATATAATATTAAATAGAAAAAATTGATAATACATAAATATATCAATTGGATATAAATGTATAACTAAGTATTATTCTTAAACTACACTATTGTTACTATATATAACAACATATAGCATAATATTATTTTCTTATTTTTTGTTATAAGTTAAATTAACTATACAGAAAAGAGTAAAAAAAACTCTAAAAAAAGGTTTAATTTATAAAAATATGTTTATATAATAAATATTGAGTTAAATTTTTTTAAAAAAAAACTATTATTAAGTTTATTAATAATTTTAGATATATTGAAGATGTGAATAAAATCAGTTTCTAATGTTGTAAGTATAACAATTTTAAGCTTTTTGATAATGCATTGGTTTGCTTGATCAAAGTATAACTTTTTTTTTTTTTTTTTTTTTAAGATAAGGTTTTGTCTTTATCTTTATTAATAATTTGTTATGGGCAACTACATGAGTTGACACAGGCCGGAGCCAATTTACAAATTTTTTACAAGAATGAGACTCAGACTATAGATGAAATTATTATTTAATTTATCTAATTTATCTGCAACCTAAACCTACTAGAGTGGTT